ATTTGCCTGAACATTTTGTACCTAATGTAGTTAAAAGCATAGTTACTCCTTACAACCAGGACAGAGCTTTAATGGGGTTAGAACTGTGGCCTTAGTACAAATGATCTTTGGGTCCAGTTCTTCCACCTGGAAATATGAAGGAAACTAAATCATATCTATGACACAGGCCGAGCCAGTAACTCAGTATGGATAGGGTGACCAGATCACCCAGGTGAAATATCGGGACGTGGGCGGGGGGGGGGGGTGCAAGCGCCGGGGCGGAGGGCAAAATTGTTTGTTTGTCCAGTGTCCCGGCTGAACATCAGTCGGGACGCGGGACAAACAAACAGATATCGGGACAGTCCCGATAAAATCGGGACGTCTGGTCACCCTATCCATACTGAGTTACTGGCTCGGCCTGTGTCATAGATATGATTTAGTTTCCTTCATATTTCCAGGTGGAAGAACTGGACCCAAAGATCATTTGTACTAAGGCCACAGTTCTAACCCCATTAAAGCTCTGTCCTGGTTGTAAGGAGTAACTATGCTTTTAACTACATTAGGTACAAAATGTTCAGGCAAATGTGATTTTTCAAGTTGACAGTAACCCTTGAAGATGGATAGCGAACCATTTGACTAAACGTAAATTAAAGTGGACTCTGGAAACAATAATCTGAGCTCTTGAGCTTCTTTGAAAGCACAACCGGTTGGGAGCTGTAAGAGTACAGACGTTTTATAGATTTTAAAACTAAATTTGAGCTTCAAATACTAAATCTAGCACTCAGGGACACTGGATTTGTGACACTTCCAGGAAGACTTTGGAGCCATAAACTAATGGACAGATTACACTCATGCATAAAATATAGTCTTTTTGGGTAGCAGATAGCAAGACAAACATAGAAGGAAAACTATTTAAAGTAAATCACCCATTTTTCACATTCAAATACTCTGGAAGCTAAAAAGATCAGGAAAACCAGTGTGATGAGTTTGAGTTCAAAAACTGGCCAATTATGACTCTCAGGCTGCATTTGAAATCAAGCCTCCAACTGTGCAAGATGACCCGTGTGAGCAAACCTTTGCACTGACTTCAGTGGGGCCACCCAGTGGCCACTAGTGTCTGCGTACATGGATTAGGGTGGAATATCAGGGCAAAACCATTAAAGTATGGAAAGCACTTCCAAGCCTCATACTGGTGGCAATTATTTTGATTGAAAACGGTGGCAGTATGGATGCCCCGAGCCAAAAATTTTAAACGAATTTAATTTCTAACCAGTTTTAAACTAATCTAAAAATCAAACTAGAAAACCCTTGAATATTTAACAAAAATTAATTAAATTAATTCCTGGTCTAACTCCATTGACTCCACTGACTGTGACTCTTAACGAGGACAATAAAATTTAGTAGTCCAAAAGTTCAAAACCTAACTGGAAATGTAAAGATGTCTTAGAGTACCTATTGGTTCTGATTAGCACTACACACCTTTATAGTTTGAAAATATATCTGTGACATTAGTGTGTATGTGTGTGTGTGTCCAAACACAAAGTTATAAAGTTTCAATGTTAGGAAGTTTGTCCAGGTATAGTCTTTAAAACTAAAGACTGGTAAAACCAATGCACAGCTTCTGTAAAGTGGAACTGTTTCTTAGAGAGGTAAAAAAAAGTCAAATCTTTTGTTCTTTTATCAAGACATGAGATGTGGAAAGCAAAATTCTGAACTATTGCAGGGTTCTTAAGTCACTATTAAATTGAATCCTTGCCTTTGGCATTTACTGTATTGTACATTTGCTGCTAGTCTACTGAGCAAGTACATTTCTCTGATGTTACTTAACAAGTTATTCTTTTGTCATATTCTAGCAACTAAAGAAAATATTCAGCATGTCTGTGCCATGATGACATCTTTAGGCAAACAATGTTACCATGGCTCTTCTCATTCACATTTCATTTTTTCTTTCATAATTAACCAGCTCCTACACCTGATTCATATAGCACACACATGTACCTCCCATATACACAGAGGAATAAAACTTACCCTTAGTTACACCCCTGCAATTTCAATGTCAATGGGGTTGTCGGCATGTAACCAAGGACAGAAATTTGGCCAGACAGAGGGAAGGGCCTGGGGAGATGGGAAAAGGGAAGAAAAGGAATATTTATTTTTATCTTTTACTCAGTTTCAGATAACTGTGTAACAATAGATCATATTTTTCATGTACTAGGTATGAGTTTTTTTATATACACATTCCTCAGTTCCATTTTTAAATGGTTGTTGATGCTGGTGGCAGAAGTGAAAACAACATGCAAATCTCACACTTGTAAGAGTATAGCCTGTAATACTAAAGCTCTTTTTGCAGGAAATACCAATCCAAGGACTACTGAGCAATTTTACCCCCACTTAGGACAGGCCTGTGCAATCGTTACTGACGACTGAACTCAATGGGACTACTCCTCATACGAGTAGTAAGTACTCACTAATGTCAGTAGGGGCTACACAGTCAAGCCCTTGAATGTTATATTTTTGTGTGTGTATGCACACAGAAGAGTATGTGCTCACACAAACAGGCCAAGTTCAGCAGTGATCTGTGTGGTAGTGTAAATTACAGACCTGGAATAAATGAGATCAGAATTACGATCAGAAAGTGAGTTTAAATTACACTGATTTTGTATTCTATGGCAGGGGTAGGCAACCTATGGCACGTGTGCCGAAGGCGGCACGCGAGCTGATTTTCAGTGGCACTCACAATGCCCAGATCCTGGCCACCGGTCTGGGGGGGCTCTGCATTTTAATTTAATTTTAAATGAAGCTTCTTAAACATTTTAAAACCCGTATTTACTCTACATACAACAATAGTTTAATTATACATTATAGACTTATAGAAAGAGACCGTCTAAAACGTTAAAATGTATTACTGGCACGCGAAACCTTAAATTAGAGTGAATAAATGAAGACTCGGCACACCACTTCTGAAAAGTTGCTGACCCCTGTTCTATGGGAACCAAATTCAGCACCTATGAAAAAGGGGGTAAGCAAAGTTTGCCCTTGCTTACACCAGGGCTACATCTGGGAGTGCTGAGGATGATACAAGTTACATTGAAACATGGAGTCCTCCATTATCTTATCTCTTCCTGTTAATTAGTTTTCCTGCTACAAGTGGCTACCTGCCCCAAGCCCATTTTCTATTCCCTGGCACATAGATTATGCTCATTTTGAAGACCTCGGACTATATGCTGATTTCACTTATACAGATGTAAATTTCAATTACTCTACTGAAGTCAATGGAGTTATACCAATATAAATCTAGAGCAGAAAACTTAGCTCCTAATCAATGCCAAATTGATACAAATTCCACTATTTTGCAACATACACAAATTTCTGCCCAATTTGTAATTTACACAACTATTTACATCATCACTGAATTTGGCCCAAAGGCTGCCCAGGGAGTTGCACTGGTTTATTCCCATCTGCATTTGGTTCACAGAATGTGTAGAAATGACCCTTGGTTCACTTCTATGTGAGGACTAAGTATGCTGTATAATCCACTAATATCCCAATATTATAAAAAAAAAATGTTTCAATTGTTTAAAAATTTCCATTAAAGTTTGAACAAAGGTAGGAGGTTAGTGTACACCATGCTACCCCGTCTGAGCATGCAAACACTTTGAGCCTACATGAATGCATTGTACTCCACAAGTCAAGCCAAATGTTTCCCCCTTCCTGCTCTTCAAAAAGTACTCTGTGCCCTTTCACTATGAAGCATGGAATCAGCCTCCTAGTATCTGGTAAACTCATTTCCTCGCCAGCCAGGACATTCAGGCATCTATCAAGTTTCTAAGCACTCCCCAACAGCAACAGAATAATCAGTTAAGGCTTCTTTATCATTACTGCTTTCCTAGAAGTCCTAGGAATGATGTGATGGCACTCACACTCCCTGTGTGGCACCAGCTGATTTTTGAGAAAAACAAAAAGCATTTCCACAGCATGACCATCCAGATAGCGTTTGATGCCAGGAAGATTATTGCCAAATGTCCAGGTTCCACACACAGCACATCTTTCAAATGTCAGCATGGAGCCAGCTCTGACTAACTGCTTGGTAAATGTACAGTAATTTTCAGATTACGCAGATTTTATTTAATTTGTGATAGTTTAATACTAATTTAAAGAGGGCTTTGGTAATTACCAGCTATTTCTTAACATTTAACTTGCTAGCAGATATGCCTTAAAGAATGTCAATGACAGATTTAACAAAGCCATATAACCACATGCATACAAAAGATATACAAAGTCAGTCAGTCCCTGCCTTGAAGATTTGGTGTATGTACATCACCTAGCACAATGGAACTCTGCTCTCAGTCATGGCCACTAGGAACTACTAGAATACAAATAAGAAATAATCATAATTTAACTCCAACCAAGCATAGTGGTTAGAAATGGAGCTTTTCTAATCAGCTAAAATGTTGAACTTGTGTCACACAGAAGTGTAGGTGTTTATTGCATATGGGGATGGTTGTGTTTAAGTGGGTTCTGTTGGATGATTGTTAATCAAGGGAATTGTTTTTTAGTGGAAAAGGTTGTTTCATATTTATTGTTTTTCAGTGTTATAGTTTATGTTTATAGCAATGTTATTAAGGTGATGTTATGAAGAAGACCAATGTTTCCTTCTTTCAACCGTCAATGTTTCTGGTCAGAGTTAGGGTTGTGAAGGGAAGCAGCAGATGTGGGCAGTGGATATGCAAGAGGTAATCACAACTGTAGATTTCAAAGGTTGTGTGTGTACTTAACTAGTGACTCGACTCCTGATTTTTCTTACGAATGAGTTGGTAGTATGAACGCTTGAGCAATTGTAACCGGTGTTAACAAAATAAATTTTTTTGTTGTTCGATGGAACTTGTTTAAGAAATCTCTGCAAATGCTAAAAGTTATTCAGATGGATACAAGATAAACATATACCCTGACCCCCAATCCCAACTGTACTCCTTCCCCTTGTTCCCTGGCAGAGCCCAATTCCTCCCATAGCCTCCAGTGCATGACCTAGATTGCCCCCGTTGCGCCACTTCATGTCTCCCTACAGCCCCATGCCTCAATATGCTTCCTCAAACCACAACCCCACTCCGACTACTCAGGCTTTTTATGTCAGTGTTTAAAAACTGAATATAGCCAGAGAGTAGGAGTCATGGTGCGGACCAGGGGTGCATATGACGGAGCAGGGCTATGTGAGAGTAGTATGTGAGGAGCAAGGAGCAGTGGGGAGAAGATCTATGTGCACTCTAACAAACCATAAGTGAGTCATCAGAGATTATCTAAATTCTGATGAAACACAGGTGGTTAATCAAAGTGGAACTCCTCTCCATTCTCCCCACCACACACACACCTGCTCTGGCCCCTCCTTCTCTATGCACCAGTCGTCCCCCCGAAAGATCTCCACTCCTCACCCTCCCCACTCTGCCCATTATTATTATGTATCAGTTGTATTACCATAACACCTAGGAGCCCTAGTCACGGACCACATTCTCACCGTGCTAGGCACCATACAAAACACAAGACAATCCAACAACCCCCTCCACACAGCTGCTTAACGCTCCCTGGCTCCCTACAATGCTGCTGAATGGTGTGCCACAGAGCTCAGGTCAAGTGTCTCTACACTGGTGCCTAAATAAAGAGCCTCTGGTTTCTCAGAAACACCCCAGCATCCCCGCATAGAACTGGATCCCACCCACAAGCATCTCCTATTAAAATCTTCCATTCACCCCAAAGCCCTGCTCAAACCCCACTCACTTTACCTGCTGCTGCCCAAGCCCAGCTCCCTATTGTCTGAGTGAGGAGCAGAGCTGGTGAGGTGGCAAAGCAGGCTTTCCGCACTGGAAAACAGAGGCAGCTGACAGAACTTGACAGTTCCGTCAGCTAATCTTGGCAGAGTTCTGTTAGTTTATCCTGAATGAGAGGAGTGACTGTGTGCGTTCAACTTCAGAATTTCAAAAGTGGCCTAGCTCCAAGTTGTTATCAAAATGTGTGTGTCCTAAGCATGGGAGAAGTTTGGGTTCCTCCAACTAAACAACCACTGTCCACACAAACCCCAAAGGAATATGAGAAAAATCGGAGTAAAGTTGGTTTCTTTTGGTCGGGGCAGAGGGCTGAAAAAAATATATTTGTGTTTCTTATGCAAAAGGTAGTAAATATTTTCTTTTTCAAAAGTTAAGGAGGAAATTTCAATTGTCCTATGAAGAATTATTGTGCCAAAAGTATAGACTAGACTAAATTCAATCAGAGTGTGAAGCAGAGGAATTTCAGCCTCTTAAGTGCCACACACTTCCCTAAAATACATTCAGCAAACCAAAGTGAAAACAGAAACTTAAGGACGACAACAAAAATTTGCTTGATGTCTGATGTCCTCTTAGCTGTCGCATATCTCCTTGTCTCTTCTCTTTATTTAGAGATCTAAGAAGAGCATGCATCGTCTTGAAATGGGGAAAGCAAAGACAAAGGCTCCCTGACTGCATTCTCTCTCTTTCGAGACTTATGTGACCCAAATGGCACTGTTCCCATCTTAGTATTGGCTGAGAGAATAAAGGGTCCCCATATGCTGCTTAATAACCTGTCCCAGTCTACATAATTAGGTTATGGAAGAGATAGGACCCAAGCCAAAATTCAGGCAGACTTGTTGTTCCTGCCATTACCCTGAACCCTGTCAAAGAAAAACTAATCTCTCACTGTGTTCATTTTGCTCTCTCTGTGTCTGATCTCCTGTACTCCAGAGTTGCAAAATTCACACTCTGTACCCAAAAGAGCAAGGTTAACCATCTATCTCCTCCTACACTCTTTGAGGATGCAAGCCTTGATCCTTCTCATCATTCTAAGAGGGCTGCTCCTTCAAAATAACTAAGAACATTGAATATTTTCAGGAGTATTAGATTTTTAATTAGAAGAAAAAGGAGACTGGTATTAAAAAGGCAAGGAATTAACTTTTATGACACTTCTCAAGGACTCCACTCCTTTTTCCTCCCCTCAAACTACTCAACTCACCAATGTCCTTGCAGCTATTCATTCATCTAACACGAGAACAAGTAAATTTGGCAGCCCAACCTCCAGCTTTCTATGCAGCGACCTTGATCTTCCACTTTCCA